TAGTTTAACCCTGGGTTAACCTAAAATTCAAAGCAAACTTCCTGATAGCTTGTTTATAAATTTGGAAATAGTTCTTCAGAAATCTTGTCAGGATCAATAGGAGTTCTCTTTTCTGAAGTAAGTTTTGAAATAAACAGACTTGCACAAATACATGAACTAAAACAACAGATTAAATTTTAACCCAGAGTTAGTGCTAACCCACCTTTGAACAACCGGCCCCAGGCCTAGAAAACAAATTTTGTTAAACTTTTTCCTTGGCCTTTCTGGGCATTGCCACCAGGCCCCAGCCAAAGCAAGCAGCAGCAACCTCCCCCCCCCAGATTAATCCACCCCCAAACGAAAATATGAAAATCCGTCTCTGGCTCAGTTTCCAAAGATGTGGCTTGATACTGTGTTTTGCCACCGAGAAAGGAGAGTGTGTCATTATGGATTAAATCTGCAATAAACAAGAATAGATTAATTTTTAATGAGATTGTACAATTATCCAGGTAACATAACTTAGCATATGACCAAGGTAAATAAACGAATGTGGCCTAACTCCTCAGCTTAAATCAGAACTATGAGTGCGCTTATGTAGGTACATTGTTTATTCAGAGTGATATTGGCATATTGCGTTTTTTATCCGTACAACCCCTGTTGAGGACCTTGGAAATCCAGGGGATGCCTTTTATATGTAACTCTGAAATTCCAGTGGGTGGGGGTCAAAACAACCTGGAATTCCAGTGGTTGGGGGTCAAAATAACCCTGGAATTCCAGTGGGTGGGAGTCGAAATAACCCTGGAATTCCAGTGGGTGGGGGTCAAAATAATACGATTTACATGGAAATTCCGGGGAAGGGGATAAAATAATGATACCGGAACGGCCCAAACTGGAAATTCCAAGGGAGATCAACTTATTCACAGTGGAATTCCGGAGTCATATGGAAAAAAATGAATTTCCAAGGGTCATTGATTAAAAACAATTGGAATTCCAGGCACCCCCTTCTACAAACCACATTTTTCCAGGGCTTCTGACAAAAAATTACTTGGAAATCAGGGGGGAGGTTGGAGAATTTACGCCGTGTGTCCTCAACAGGGGGTGTACAGATAAAAAATGCAATAAGCCATTTACTGAGAAAACCTGTAAGAAAACAGTGCATCTTGGAAATGAGGTGTGACACACATGCATGCATTATCTCAAAAGGAAATAAATGTAAATAACTAGTATGTAATTTGGGCAAAATTAAAAAAAATTGGCACACCTCAGCTTAGCTAAACCTCAGCTTAGGGAAAAGTGTGATTTATCTCAAGCCTCTATAATGACACAAATATCAAGAAGTATCCCAACCAGAAAGCTAGCACCTCCAGCTTATACTGTACATAAGTTGGTACATAACACAAAACTGACCTAAATCCCTCTTTCAAAAAGATAGTCTGTGGTACATGATCATAGTTTATGTCTATTTATAAAACGAGACCTCGGAGTTTTTAACATTATTACACAAGACAGTTCGCACTTTAAAGACCGTCGTATTAATACTCGTATATGTGACTGAATATAATTTTAATAAGATTAATAAGCATCGTAGGTTGTAACCAAATATTTGCGATTGTGAATAATCACAGTTTGCTAAAGTAGTGGAAAATTTTACACTTTCCCATGTGTATTGCACTGTAGGAAGCTGTTTCCTTAACAAATAGAGTGTCATTTTCATCGTTATACTTATTATTTCATGTCAAATAAGATAAAGTGTAAATAAAATTGAATATTAAAATACGCCTCTTACCTTTGTTATTTGTATATTAAAATCCATATTCAAGTCTCGTCTTTTTCCCACATTTCTTGAGGTTTTAAAATTTGCTTGTCGTCTTTCATGGGCGAGAATAACACGTACGACTTGCATATCTTTGTCCAAATGGTCAAAGGTAGAAAATTTATATAGAAAAAATTTTAAAACTGATTCAAAACAACAAGAACTATATTATCTGCAAAATTTTTTGCAAAACCAGGGGGGTGTGAAAACGGCCGTGGGCTCAGAATTGAGCCTGGTCAGTGGTAACTACCATGAGGATTTCGGAAGTGTTGTCATGGAAATGGCGTCATTTTCACTCAAAATCCGCCATGTTTTTGGCTTCACTTCGTTGACTGAACGAAGTATAGGAGCAGGTCCTCCAGTTATTATACAGCTCAGTGGTCAATCACCAGACCGCAGGGCCTGGGTACGGGGCCGGCGATGTTATATTTAGGGCTACGAGACCAATGCCAATGGAGGACCGTGATTCGATGTTTTATGGTTTAAACTTCAACGAGAAATTAAAAATTTATATTTTATTTCAAAACGTATTTGCTCCAAGAGTGTGGCACGTACGTAATTACCATAGGTTTGGATATACAAGGCTCAGGCTGAAATCTAACATTTCCTTCCATGACGACTCAATCGAATAGACCTTTCCCCTTATGAGTGAAATTTTGATCCAGATATGCCTGGACAAAAATTTCATCACAGCTTGAAAGAGCATCACAAAATTAGTAATATTCCGAAGCAAAATGACTGAAAAACGGCAAACTTCGCAAGGCTATATTATCCGCATTTTACAACATTTCGCAACGAAACTTCGGAATATTACTAATTTTGTGATGCTCTTTCAAGCTGTGATGAAATTTTTGTCCAGACTTGTCTAGATCAAAGTTTCACTCAAAAGAGGAAGGGTCTATTGCAAGTGCAAGCAGTGAGTTTCACACTTCAAAAAAATCCGCCATGAAAAAATTGGATCGCTTCCTACTTTCTCACGGCGATTTTTTTTCTCGCTATATTTATTCAGCTAGTATTAGTATTCAACCATGGATAGTTAAAAACATGTGTTTACTCACAAGTAACTATTCTTCATAATAAATTCTTTTCTGTGCCTGTGAGCATTATGCAACGCCAAAAAAATGCCAGGTCTGAAAAAGGTTCTGGGTTCCAAGATGCCACCATTATTTCCGGCTATTGTGTCTTTAGTAATTTTGCAAATGGTCTGTACAGGGTGTCCCAAAAAAAGTCCAGTTCCCCTATAGAAATCACCCTTTTGTTGTTAAACGTGCGTTGTCACACCTCTGGGAATTTGTACGTTAACTGAAAGTGTAACCGAAGTGTTACATTATTTGGACGAAGGGGACTTTTGAAATACTTCCGCCGTTCATGTACAATAAAAATTAAATTCCCAAAGGTGTCGTGATCTCTACACGGGGACTTTTTTGGGACACCCTGTATAACTTCATATCGACATTTAACAATAAACCCGGGCCGCAAATGACGTCACACGCCGGTGATGATGCATCTACGGTTGATTGTTCAAAGCTGGGTTAACGCTAACCCTCGATTAAAATTTAAACAACTTTTTTAGTTTATGTATTTCTGCACGTCTGTTATTTCAAAACTTCAGAGAAGAAAACTCCTACTGATTCAGACAAGATCTCTGAACTTTTATTTCCCAATTTATAAACAAGTTCTTGGGAAGTTTGTTTTGAATTTTAAGTTAACCTAGGTTATGCCAACCCAGCTTTGAACAACCAGCCCCTGGAGGACAAATTAGCATACTATATAACTTTTGTAAACAAAGCAAATTTTGTAAAACTTCATAATAATTTTGTATTAAAATGGTTAATTTTTGCGCTGTATGTGGTCGTTGTACCCGAACAGATATTGTTAGGGAGCATCTGGAGGACACTCTAAGGATTTGTGACGTCAGTGCAATGGGTCTATACAGCTACTCTAATCCACAGTTCATATTATATTACTTCAAGTCGACTTTAATACATTCATTAGGTTTCAAACCGTATTGCAATACATCGTCCTTGACTGTAGCCCATGCCATTCTCTTTGTGTTGAACGCCTTCCCAAAGTTTCCATCTTCATCTATTACTATAACGCCGCCATAGCCGTTTATACGTGTTTCCATCCTTTGAACTGCTTCTTCGGACGAAATCTGGGCGAAACGTAAAACAGAACATGTTACTGACACAGTCAGGACATTTCTAAGCATGTAATTCAGTTCTCATAGTCGGATTTATTGAAATATTACATAAAATGTTTTTGACGTTACTCTGAGTGTATATCCACACGGGGCAGGCTGAAAAGTTAGCCTGACCAACGGTGGGAATCGAACCAGCGACCTTTGGGATACTAGTCCAAAAATATGTATATTATCATGATCATAAAACACATTGGTATCGAAGGTACTAGACTTAGTTCCGAAATACCACACACTCGAACAGATTTGGCCTCGTAGCTCAGTTGGCAGGGCATTGGACTGGTATCCCAAAGGTGGCGGGTTCAATTCCCACCGTTGGTAAGGCTAACTTTTCAGCCTGCCCGGTGTGGATATACACTCAGAGTAACATCAAAAACATCATATTCACCTGAGTACATAACATCAAAACACACAGGGACGTCGCTACCGGGGGGTGTAACAGCCCCCCCCCCCTAATAATTCAAACGTTGGTCAAAGTTGGTCAAAATGGAACTGGTATTTGCTTAAAATTTAAGGTCAAAGTCGGTAAATTGTGGTGAAAAATTGGCAAGCCTTGCTTATATAAAATTTTTTAAATATGTTTATATTAGTCCAGAAAAATTTTTACTGTTAAATGTTGGTCAAAAGATGACGACACCCAAATGTTGATGCCTTAGCGACGTCCCTGAAAACACACACAAAAAAATATTACATAAAGTTTAGTTCAGCATTAGCAATCACCTGCGCATTATTTCCCTTCTCAATGTTATACACAGCTTCTCTAGCCAGAGTTATTTTCATTAAAGATTCTCCGTGACCAGTCGTGGAAGATCCACCGTATTCATTTGCATAACCTCCGCAGCCAATCATAGGGGAGTCACCGATACGTCCTTGCATCTTGGCGGGTATACCCCCTAGAAATATAGCAGTAAAATTTACTAAGTATGTACAAAGACCTATGGGAGAGGACCAGCCAGACCCCAGCAGACGAAGAGATACAGAAAAGAAGATAAGATAACATAAGAAACTTTATTTGTGTGTCAAAACATTCTAGCGTTTAGCAGATTAAAGCTACTGTTATGCAAAAAAAAAGTATACTTATACGTATACTAGCTATGAGTAGATAAATTTACAATACCAATCCCTAATTATTACATAGATAGCAGTTTCTACAACCGCCATCCTCTAAACAACAACACTCTTGAAAACGTTCAATGTACTGATGTTCCTAACTTTTTGTTTTTAACTTCTTTACTTAACTTTGACCATAAAAAAGGTCCTAAGTATCTAATTGAGTGTTTTCCATATTTTACCGTATTAAAACGCGGTATTCTGAAATCAGAATTTCTTAAATTATATGAGATGGAGATGGCTGGGACATACACTGTGCAAACCAACATCCAACACCACAGGACAGGCCCTCACATGGAATCCTCAAGGGAAAAGGGCCGACCAGAAACACCTGGCGCCGAGACCTAGAAGCTGGCACCAAGAAGATGGGTTACACCTGGGGACAACTTGCGAGAATGGCACAGGACAGAGACACATGGAAAACTCTTGTCGACGGCATATGCTCTAAATTTGGGTAGTGGGCTTGATGATGATGTACAGTACGTTTGGTATATGTGCGTGTAACAATTGCGAATTGTATTTTATATTTTTGTGTGCTGTAAGCAAGTCAATCTTAAGTTTATTGATTGCAGCGATCATCAGCCATGTATCCAATGTCATCAGACAACCCAAATGGAAACCTATGCTTACCTGTTGATGTAGCACATGCAATACAGCCAGAGGTATCCATAGCAACAGCGCCGACAGTGTCGTGGTATTCCTCTGTAGACCTCCCCTCCCTGTGTGAATGAACAGCATTATTATATTTACTAAATGCGTTCCCTTTCATCTTCGCCTGTTCCGTCACAAGCTCCATTGGATCTTTTAAAATGGGGTATCCAATTTTCTTTGCAAAGGCAAGGCAGCCTTCGATGTTGAGAGCACAATGAGGTGTCTCTTCCATCACACGTCTTGCTAGCGAGACAGGGTTTGAGAATTGACTAACTGCCAAAACCGCGCCTAAAATGGTTTTATTTAATATTTATTCAATTATTCAACTCCACTAGCAAGTAGTTTTAATATCATGTTTTAGTGCAACAGGCTCATTTTTAAATGTAATGCGATGTAAAATTGAAAGCTTTGCAGGGCTCAAAATAACGGCCGGTCACGGCCAGTATAATCTACAGACTGCAGACCAAGTACAAAATGCAGAATTAAGAATAGGTATAAATTGCAGACTGAAATTGCAGACTTGGTATAAAATGCAGACTGAAAAAAAAAACGTACAAAAATACACGTTATATACACCCGTTTTCAAAATTATGCGACTTACCAAAATATAATCTAAGACTCAAATGTCAGTTTTATGTCACGAGAGCTGTGGGAACTGCTAAATATAGCAAACATGAGCAAAATTAAGACATTTTAAATCGTATTTAATACCTAAAGAGTAAAGAAGAATATTGAACTAAAATGAGCTAGATACACAAACTAAAAGAAACAACAAACCATCACAAAAATAAATTTGTGTAGTGAATGACTTTTAAGTTTGAGAAAAAACAAATTGTGTATTAAACCCGCTTACGCCTGACTATAGCAGTAATATTATGATTCTGTTGTGCTTAAATTTTGCAATAATTTTCACTAAAAAATATCTTGAAAATCATTCTAAACCTTTTTATATAAAGCATCAAAGCTTATACATTAACATGCATCGACAATGAACCGCAAAACTCGAAGTTGTAAATCAAATTTGAACTTCATGACAGTATGACATATTAAAATATACGTTCTTTCACAGTCTGTATTTTATACCAAGTCTGTAATTTCAGTCTGCAATTTATACCTATTCTGCATTTTGTACTTGGTCTGCAGTCTGCAGATTATACTGACCGCGGCCGGTCATTTTGACCGACCAAATCGTGCTTTGTGTTTGATACAGAGCTGGTAAGATGTCCTCTGACAATTTGAGCCTGCACAAGTGGGAGGATATTTGCTAAATTTGACCATGGATTAAATTGTTATTTTACAATCCATGATTTGAGTCATTTGACCAACGTCTACCAACAAGTTGATATGCCATATCATGCAACATCTCGTTCGCATCACCTTGATGCGTGTTTGAACATGTGCATCAAGAAATATCGCAGGCTTCGCAAACTTTTATGGTGCATTTGGATATTATGGAAGCAATTACTCAATAGACCTGAATTTAAAGTTGATCCATCCATGATCATTGCATCACATTCCACTTGGCCAATCTCATTGAGAACAGCTCCATGACCTGCATTGAAAATTGGATTGTCCTCCATACTGTTCACAGCTTTCTCTACTGCATCCAACGCTGTACCACCCTTGCATGGTTAAATGATCAATAACTAGCATCAATATTCTATTATGTTCCTTAAAGGGGGGGGGGCATATGTTTTCCAAGCACATTTAGGTGGGGATCAGTGGTGAAGCCAGCCCAACAATTAATTTGGTCATGCTATGCAAATATTTCCGTGTTCATAATATTTCTGTGTTCATGCCAGGGCCGTAGCTAGCG